ACCCTGCCAGTGCATCAGCTTGCTTGTTTTCTTTTCTTGGCATGTGTTCAATTGTAACTTCATCGAGCCATCCTATGAGTGCCCTTGCATATTTGTTATAAGGATGTAGTTCAGGTTTCCTCACCTCATAGATTCCAAGCACTTGATTGATGATTAGTTTTGAATCACCATATATATTAACTCGTGTTTGCTTCATGTCTACAGCTATTTCAAGTCCGAAGATGAGGGCTTGATATTCAACGACATTATTGGAGCATTGTTCCATAAGCGTGAAAGCATAGGACAGAACTTGACCTTCGGGTGTAACAAATACAATACCAGCTCCAGCACCTTCTCTATGTGCAGCCCCATCAAAATACACCTTCCATGGAGGCAAAACTTCAATTATAAGCACATCTTCATCAGGGAGATCATCAGAAAGTTCCCACTCAGTCGGGGTAGGGTGATCGACTAGGAAATCTGCTAAAGCTTGTCCTTTTACAGACTTTTGTGAGACATAGACGATCTCAAACTGTTGAAATATCAGGTACCACCTAGCAAGACGATCAGATAAGACCACTTTGGACATCACATACTTCGGTGGATTTGCTTTAGAGACAAGATTTATCGTGTGAGCTTCAAAGTAATGTTTAAGCTTCTTGATTGCAAATATGAGGGCCAAACACAACTTCTCAATGGGCAAGTACTTCAATTCGTGTGGGGTCATCATTCTGCTTAAATAATAAAGGGCATTCTCCTCCCCTTTATCGTTTTCTTGAGCTAATAGAGCTACCACAGACATTTCTTGAGTTGCAATTTAAAGTATCAAAGAGCAGCCAAAAATGGGTGCATTTAGGACCGATGGTTTCATCAAATAAGCCTTGATATTATCAAATGCATTCTGACACGATTGGTCCCATATGAAAGGCACACCCTTCTTCATAATTCGACTAAACGGCTGACATCTTTCAGATAAGTTTGAGATGAATCTCCGTATGTAAGCCAACTTTCCTTGCAAACTCTTCAACTCGTGAATATTTCGAGGCTCGGGCATATTCACAATAGTGTCAATCTTGGCTTGTTCTATCTCAATGCCTTTGTAACAAACAATGAACCCTAGGAATTTCCCAGCTGAAACTCTGAAAGCACACTTCAGAGGGTTCATTTTGAGACCAAACTTTCTCAGGCGATCAAACACTATTCTCAAGTGTGATAGATGCTCGTTTCGGGCCTTTGATTTTACCATGAGATCATCAACATAGCACTCCACGATTTTGTGGAGAATATCATCAAATATTGCCTGCATAGCTCGTTGATAAGTAGCTCCAGCATTCCTAAGTCCAAACGGCATGACTGTGTAACAATAGATTCCTTTAGGAGTTCGGAAAGCAGTCAATTCTTCATCTGCGGGAGCCATACGACTCTGATTATAACCGGAAAAAACCATCCATAAATGACATAATTTCATGCCCAGTCACGACATCTATCATTAATTCAATGATAGGAAGTGGAAAGTCATCTTTTGGGCAAACAAGGTTAAGATCCCGAAAATCAACGCATATTCGGATTTGTCCATTTTTCTTTCTAACCGGGACAATGTTGGCTATCTAAGTAGGATATTTTTTGGGCCCTGTGCGGTTGGGCTGCCTGCACTCCTCCTGGGCCGGCCCTGACCGTACCACAGCTTCCGGTTCCACATTCGCGGTCTCCACATCCGCTTCTTTTGTTGGAGCGACTTCCAACCACCAGGACTCCATAGCCGCCGCCTCCAGGTCCATGGATCTGTAGTTGCAGACGAAGGAAGGGAACCACCGAACCGGGAAGAAAGAGAAAAAAGAGAGGAAGAGAGAAAGGAAAATAGGAAAAGAAAAAGAAAAAAATTGGAAAACAGTAAAAAATGCCACCTCGGACGTCAAGTAGGCATTTAACCGGCTAACCGGTTTGCTACCTGTTAAAAAGTCAATTTGGTCGTTTTTTGATAGTTCACGGACTTAATTGACTCGAAAAAAAGTAGATGGACTCAATTGACTTTTTGTTAAAAGTATGTGAACTTATTTGACAGTTTTCCCTTTGATCTAACAATAGTTGTAGTAGCCCCTTTAAAAAAATATACGTTAAAGTGTTTAAATATTTTTTTATCTTTATATATTCAAAATTGATATCATGTGAAAGATAATAAAAACATTATGATTTTAGATATATTTTTTGTAACAATCAGAGATATATTTTTTGTAACAATCAGAGTATAAATAAAAAGTTATACGTATAACTTTAAACAAATGCTCGGATGTTTTTAGTGTAAATTATTTTTTATGTTTGTATATTCAATATTAGTGTCATTTAAAAGATAATAAAAAATTATGAATTTTGATATAATTTTCGTAACAATCAGAGTACGAATGAAAAAGTTATAACACTTTAAAAAAATTTAAGATATTATTTTAGTGGGGCCTTAAATGATAGGATTTGTAAGTAGTATTAGAAAAATTTGTATATGGAATACTATCGTACATAGAATTAAATTGTGCTTTTCTTTAATTTCCATAGTTATTTTAAAACAATAATTATGGAGTTGACGTGTCGCAATAAAGTGTTAAATTATTTTTTACTTTTATATATTCAATATTGATGTCATTTGAAAGCTAATAAAAAAATATGAATTTTGATATATTTTTTTATAACAATCGGAGTACAAATAAAAAGTTATAATACTTTTAAAAAATAGGGTTTATTTTGATGGGATTCCTAGAAAATAGGAGTTAGTATTTTACTTGAGTAATAGTAGTAATTGATTACGTGAATTCCTATATGAATTACCGAATGGACTCCTTTAATTAGAAAGTGAATTCAAAACAATAATTCTAGAGATGACACATGGCAATGGTTTCCCTAATTATAACATTGAAATGTATTATTTATAATCGGAGTACAAATAAAAAAGTTATAATATTTTTAAAACATAGGATTTATTTTGATGGGATTCCTAGAAAACAGGGGTTAGTATTTTAGTTGAGTAATAATTGATTACGTGAATTCCTATCTGAATTATCGAATGGACTCCTTTAATTAGAAAGTGAATTCAAAACAATAATTCTAGAGATGACATGTGGCAATTGTTTCCCTAATTGTAATCTTGAAATGTATTATTTATAGATTATCAAACAGACTCTACAATTTCATCACTAGATTTGGGCTGCCTTACAGCCAAGGTTGTTAAAATCGTATTTTTGGATCGAATCGGTAGATGTTTTTGAAAATCGAATCGTAAAATCGAATCGCAAATCGTAAGATTTTATCAAACATATTTTAATAATTATAAAATAAATAAATATTAAAATTAAGTAGCAAGTTAATGGTATTATGACATTTTATTACATACCACTATACCTACAAGGTCAAAAATAAGATTTATAAACTATTTTTATATTGTAAATAGAGTGAATAATAACATTAAACATATGTAAAACATAAAAATAATTAAATAACACAAGAATCCAATACTTTTTTAAATATACTATTGATGTTATTATTATTGAAATTTTGTATCAATTTGTAGTAGTTAATTTTAATAAATTTGAACCATTTTCACTAAAAAAACTTATTCCGATTTTGCTACGATTTTGATACGATTTTATACGATTCTACACGATTTTTGTACGATTTTGTTACGATTTTGTACGATTTTATGATTTTACGATTTTACCTGCGATTTGAATCGATTTATTATTGTAGAATCGTAAAATCGTACGATTTTACGATTTAAATCGAGATTTTAACAACCTTGCTTACAGCTGGACCAACTGTTATATGTTTTGTAGGCTATTGAGCATTTGGGTGAATACGATCCCAGTAGAAACAGCCCAATAACAAGGGTCATTACGGATAGGGATGGGATTTTGGAACCGGGAATCGTAGAACCGATTGGAACCAAACCGTTAACAACATCTAGGAACCGAACCGTTAACAATTAATGCCTCATTTGTAGGAACCGAACCGAAACAGGTTATAACGGTTCAGTTCCCGGTTCCTATAAAAAATATGTGCATGGAACCGTTAAGGAACCGTTATTAAAAAAAGTAAAATAAAATATTATTATTAGTAGTGCTAACAATAATAATAATAATAATAATAATATAATAGCAATAATAACCACCACCACAACAACAATAATAAAACAATAGATAGTATAAGATATTTAACTAACAATTCTAATTTAATCAACGGAAAAGAAGTAATAAATATTGTACATGAGGTTGATATAATACATTAAACTCCTTTCTACAAATCACGTTTTGTTCCATCACATAAATTTTATAAATATAAAATAAATCAAATAACTTGTAGTTGATTGCACATATTTTGCTTTACTATTTTCATGATATTTCTAATTATTAGATTTATTATGAATCAATAGAATGTAATAATGTTTTTTATATCTATACATGCAAACTCAATGTCTTTTTTTTATGTTTTGAAAGACTTGAAGTAGGTGTCCTATTCTTGCTACTATGATGACGAGTAACATTCATCGCTCCGACACTACAACGATTTTTAATGTTTGATTTATTACATGAAAATTCAAATCACTTTTGTTCTATTAAGTGTTCAAAGTTCACTAGTTAAGTTTGAACTTTGATGTTTGAAGTGATTAGAGCTTCAAATAAAATTTTAATACTCGTGTTTTGAATTTTCGACGTGTTTAAAATTATGTGTTAATTCTTAGACGATAAAAAAGTATTCTAAGAACCGGTAAAAGGAAGAACCGAACCGTTTACTACCGGTTCGTTCCATAACGGTTGTTAATTTTTTATATAGGAACCGAACTGATTTCATTAGTTAAAATTTTTATAACGGCTCCACTCATTTTGAGTAAGAACCGAACCTATCCCCGCCCTAATTACAATTACGGACTACATCGGAGGATTCCGAGCAAACGAATTGGCGGGAACTCTGCACATGTCAAATCTCAAACGAATTGGCGGGAACTCTGCACATGTCAAATCTCAAACCCATTAAAATACATTTTCCCGCTCGCTCATTCCCCCTTTCTCTTGAACCATTTCTGCAAAATCCTCACGTTTTCCTTACCTCTCACACCTCCATCTCCTCACGCGCATGCGTGATTACAGCTTCAGATCTAATCGGAAATGGAAGCTCGACATCCCAACTCAGAACTCAATCAGCCTCTCGCCGGCGGCGCAGCCCTAACGGACTCTCAAAAGGCGTGGCATGTTTTCGCACTGCTTCTGGCAACTAAACGGCCTGCCTCCCCAGCAGAGATCGCTAGCATCTGCACGCTTTACCATGCTACTCCGGATTTGATTGAGTATCTTTGCTCGATCCCTAATTCGCCACTCCATTTAACTCCAGATTCCCTCGTCACGTTCTCTTCTGTCGTGTACCTGACATTTGCTAAATTTATTGCGTATGTGAATGTAATTGCGGCTGTTTCTCCTGGCTTGAATTTTGAAGACCGAACGCTCATGGAAGCTGTTGGCGGTGAGTTGTGGACTAAGAGAAGAACGAGATGGAGATCAGACGGGTTGCCTGTGTTAAAAACGAGAAGAACATCAAATAGCTGTTGTGATGTGAAGAGTAAGCATTAATGTCTTTTTTATTAAATTTTTATTGATTTAGGATACAATGTTCTTTTTTAAAACTGGTATTTTGCAGTCCAGAGAGAAGATCACGTGGTTATGACATTGCCGTTTGAAATGCTGGATGCATGCGCTAAGGTAATTTGGTATGATTGATTAGTTAAAGTTATGTTGCTTCTTACTTGAGTATTTTTAGCAATTTTAACTCATTTTTTTGCATGTGAGCTGTAAAACTAAAATAGTTGGATTATATTATGCACTCTTGATGTGCGTTTTTATGTCATACATACTCAAATGCCTTACCATGCTGTAAATCTTCAGTATCAATTGTCTAGCTGGATATACCATGGATTGTAAATGTAAATCAGTAGAATTTGACTTCTTGTTAAGGTTAATGTTTCATAGTTTTTACTTTGGTTCTAAAAAAACTGTAAAACATATTATTGATTATGGTGAAAACCTTGAGATAAAACTGGTATGAGATGGTGAGAGAACATAATAAATTAATGTGCTTAAAATGAATAATGATATGTTCTGGTATTACTCAATAGGAGGCTGAAAATTGGCCTTTTGAAACCTGTTACATGTTGCTTCTTATCATCTAATTGAGTCTTATAGTCTCCCCTCATCTTTGCCCCCACCAAATATTTCGTATTATTTATATATATTTAAGCTTTGCTACAATTGACAATCCGATAATAATTAAGTCCTGGGATACAATACTTATACAGGAATATTTCCAAGTCCAAGATGACAATTATAGTGGGATGATGACCAATGATATATGGGGACCATTGTACTTCACCTCCAACTACAGGGAACTAGGGGGAGGAGCATTTAATACTCCCTGCACCTTTTATGAAAACAATGAGGCTTCTAGATATGGATTTGAAAGTGCACAACATAACGATGAACCAATGCTAGATGCAATGCAAAACAGAAATGAAGCAGACGCTGCACATATGACTGTGGCTAAAGCTGATCTCATGTTTGACGATGTGATTTTTTCGCATATACACGAACGAGTGGAGAAAGAGGACACACATTCAAGCCCTAATTTAAACCCACTTCCGTTGACTGGCATTCTCGAAAATAAGATAGAAAGTGTAGAAGTGGAGGCATATGATAATATTAAGAGCAGAGTAAACTCCGACACAACTTCTTGCTTCTTAGCTCTACAGACTCCGGCTGAAGTACTTGAACCATTCTCTTGCACTGTCAGCAAAATAAAAGGAAATGACCCTATACCAGATAACCCAAGTAACAGAGAGAAGTCTGCTGAAGAGCTTCATAAAGTGAATGTTGCTATTAGAGGGGATAACATGCTAAATTATTTATCTGAGAAGGAAGCCGAAGTGCCCCAGGTAAGTGATGATATGTTAGAACATGTGCCGTCTCTTGTCGAGATGCAAATAGAAAAGTGTTCTCCCAGTTCAGATAATGTGCATGAGGATCCCTTGATTACTTCAGACAAAACTGTGTGCAAACCACTGGATAATAGTGCACATCTCAGACATCAAGAGAAGGATCGGATTAGTAGAGGCATAAAACCTATATCTGCAAAGAAAAAGCTAACTTACAATCATGATAAGCTTTTGGATAATACAAAAAAGAATGAAAATCTCACAGAGAAAATAGAAGGTGTGAACTCCACCACTTCTAAAGTAAGTTGACAATTCAACTTTCCCCCCATCTTATGCAATTAACTGTCTTTATTTCTTTGTAAAACTGATAATCTATTTTTTAAAAATGGAAGGAGCCTATTGAGCAAAAAGAGCTTCCCAACTTTGAGTCTTTTGTAGTTGAGGAAGAAGAAGGTTCAGGTATGATGATTGGTGCCTTTAATTAAATGTTTCACGGCTTTCACCCATGGTTATTTCCAAGGTTATCATTTGGTTTCTCCAAACAAATGCATGCAGGTGGCTATGGAACAGTGTACAGGGCAAGGAGAAAAAGTGACGGAAAAAAATTTGCAATAAAATGTAAGCCAGTAATGTATTACATTTTCTATATTTCGACGCTCATTCTTTAAAATTGTTCCATACCCAAAATTGATTCCGCAAATTAGCAAATATAGTTTTCTTTGTTTTCATTACTGGTAATGCGACTTCTGGAGGAGACTCTAACACCATGTTGATATTTCATTCCTACCCTCAACTTGGATGTGAAAGAAATGTAATTTGAAAATATATACTCCAAATGTGTATGCATATGTTTTTCTGAGTGAGTCCAAGGAAGAAGATAATAAAAAAAGAACATTGTGTACAACCAATCAACCCTTATGTAATGACATCCATAGAAACACAAAGTAACTCTAGTAAGTGGCAAGAACTACATTTTGGATCCATGAATCCACACATAACAGCTCATACCATTAATGAATGTGCAGATCCTCATTCTAATGCCAATAGACAAAACATCCTTAATGAGGTGAAGATGTTGGAGAGATTAGGGTAAGAATGATTTTTTCATGAATGTTTACATTTCCAATAAGTGTATAGCCTAAACATTTTAATTATACTTTATTGCAGGGGCAAGAATTTTGTGATTACATATGAAGGATCGTTCAAGGATGGAAATTCTGATTGCGTTGTTTTAGAGCATGTGGAGCATGACAGACCGGATGTAAAACTTCCATGTCTTTCACTAAAATTTCCTAGCCCATTGACATTGTCAAAGTTATTTTCCTCTCAACTCAATTTTATATTTATCACTAGGTTTTGAAGAAAGAAATAGGAGTATCACAGCTCCAATGGTATGCTTACTGTTTGTTCAAGGCTCTTGCTTCTCTTCATAAGCAGGTGTGAATCAAAGAGCTTATGGCATGTAGCAACATTATGGGTCTGTTTTGGAACTCAGAAAATGCAAGGGAGAGAATAATTAGGAAAATACAGGGCAATATGGAACGAAAGAAAGTCTGTGGACAAATTTAAACTTGGTTCAGATACTGTAAACCAGTTTTAGATATTTACTTGAACTCAATTTATTTCTATTTCTATTATATAAAGACTATGAAGCACATTTATATGTCAACCCTTAAAAGTTACAGTATTTGTTTTCCTCCATATTTCCAAGATATCAAATCCGTCTTGTTGGGGTTTTCCTTTCCCTCCCATTTTCTGGTTCCCACATAGCCTAATTGAAAGTAAATAGTAGAGTTTACTGAACCTCTTTTTCTTCTCAGGGTATTGTTCATAGGGATGTCAAACCTGGGAACTTTTTATTTACACGGAAGCTAAATAAAGGTTACCTTATTGATTTCAACCTTGCATTGGTGAGTAGTATTTTTCATTTCAGAGCATTTTCCTCTTCAATTCCATTCTTCTCTTCTTGGATATGGTGTAAACTATTTACCATCATTCTTTGAACAGGATATGAACAAAAAATATGGAAGTGCAGGTACATCATTCATGCCTCCTTGATTTAGTATCCTCTAATTATGTTTTTATTCAGGGAGGGAGGGGGGACACCGTTAGTTTAACAGCCCCCACCCCACCAACTGAGCTGAACTAAACCTGTTAAGTTATTGAGTCAACTCAATTGCATTTTCAGAAATACTATTCGAGTGTTTATAGGTAACATAGTAGAGTGTAATTAAACATTGTTAATCTAGGAAAACTTGGCAGGCAAAACCTTCTGATTCAAAGGTCCTATCAGGTGTACCAGATTATTTAAACATATGTTGTCATAAAAAACTCTCCACACGAGTTGAACCCAAATTGAACATTGAAAAGTTTAGATTTTCAAACCAAACAGATCATAATGGTCTTTTTGGATGGAAGGGTTCAAGTGAAATTGTCTTGGATCATTTAGTACTCTGTCTTGATATATACTTTCTGTTTGAGATCTAACAAGAATGAGAAGAAATATGTAACATATGACTGTACAACATTTTGTTAATCTTTAATTTGTGCTTAGAGACATTCTAATTATATCAAGAAACAGACTAATGTCCAAAGCTCTCCCTGAATTAGTCCAAACAGACTTTGACAGCACTTTGTTCGTGCGGTTATCCTGGTGCATGCTAAACTTTATTATGAACATGTTTTAAACCTACAGATAAAACAAATTTGGGACCTTGTACTGGCTTGGAGGGAACTCATAGTGGCCTTTCTAAATCTCTCCTTTCAAATAAAAGTAGAAAAGAAGCAGCCAATCAGGAAACTACTTCTAAAGGTATCAAGAAAACAACTTTGCAGCTTAAGAATACGAAAAGGAAGGATGCCTTGGAAAATGGGAGGAGTATAATAAAAAGCCAAGGTGCTGATGGGTCGGGAATAACTTCAGCAAAGGAAGCAACAAGCATCAGAAACCCATCCAGGGAGGCTCTTCAATGCCAACCTCTACCATCCAAAGGTAGAAGACAGCTTATCAATCTAGTTGAAGCAATGCAAAGTGCAAACCATCATAAAGAAGAACTAAAGGGTCCCACTTCTAAAAGAAAGAGGATTGCAGCACCCCCGGGAAAAGAAGACAGGCACCAGTTCATTTATATAACTCCCATGCCGTTGCGTTCTTCTGGAGTAGCCATTCAAGGTGCTGGGTTTCTCAAGGGTAATAATAAGTTTAATCTTAATTATATCTGTTTATGGCGTGGTACCATGTTTATTATGCATGACCTTGTGCTCTACTTCTAGGTGATGGAAAGCAAAAGCGAGACGGCTCTTGTGTCGGGACAAAGGGTTTCAGGGCTCCAGAGGTTTGTAATTGATTTAACATGCTCCTCCTGTTGCAAATATTCACAATGAGTTGTTTCTCCATTGGGCATGTAAGCATGTTTGAATCCCGGAAAATGCAACGCAAAAAAGAAAAAAGGTGAAAAGAAAATTTGTCCGTCTTATGTTTGGTTTCACTTTGGAAAAGAGGTAAGGTCAATTGAGTACATCAACCTGTATGGCGTAGAGTAAATAGTACATTATATTGCATTTGTTCTTTTTAAATATACAAATTCAGGTTTTTAGTGTTAATTGAGTACACCCGTTAGATTAACACGTTAATATGACTGAGTTAGAGTGCTAATAGGTCGACTTCTTGAAGGTCAATGCCAGCCCTCAACAATAACCTTGGTCCATTACCTCTTCTTACTCAGCATTACGTTAGTCAACTCAGTTATATTAATGTCAATCTAACAAATGTACTCAATTCACACTAAAACCCCGAATTTGTGTACTTAAAAAGATCAAATGCAATACAGTGTACTCTTTACTCCACCTCGTACAAGTTGGTATACTTAATCGACCCTTTTCTCTTTTGGAAAATGCTATCCGAAGTTAGATACAATTGATGTTTTTTTTCAAAATTTACATATAATTAAATATCTTTGTATTTATATACTCCGTACTAGATATGATAAAAATATACTTCCTCCGTTCTTTATTATCTGTCTCGCATTCCATTTTGGGACGTTTTTTATTATTTGTTTCTCTTTCTATTTTAGGAAAGTTTTTGATAAAATATCCCCACTTTTTTTACTTTTACCCCTCTTACTTTTTACAAACTACTTTCTCTTTCCTACTTTATCATAACTTTACTCTACTTAATATACTCTCTTTCCTACTTTATCATCACTTTATCACCACTTTACTCTTTTTAATATACTCTCTTTCCTACTTTATCATTTACTCTACACACTCTACATTTACCCTACTATTTTTCTATTAAAACCCATGCTCAAGGCTAGCGGGACAGATAATAAAGAACGGAGGGAGAATTGGATATGATTAAATAATTTTTTTGAAAAATATCTAAAATAACCTCGTTGAGTTTGAACCGTATCTTTCACTTTCTGCAAATTTATATTTTCCTTTCAATTTCTTTCGGTGGTTTTTTTGACATTCCAAACAAACTCTTACGCTATGTTTAGACTTTGGATTCTGGAAGGGCAAATAAAAAGAATTTTCTTATTTTTGGATTTTAATTGTGGTTAGAACTGATAGTATATTTAGGAAAATATTCATGTAAGGTAGGCCTAAAACTTAAAATTTTAGGCCTCTTTCAGTTGATGGGCTTCCAGAATGAATTTTTTGATGAAATTTTGTGAGAATGTTCTCCCTGAACTGTATACTATGTCTACCAAATTTCAGATTAAAATTTAATTGGGAAAACACTTAAATAATTTTTTCTTTAAAATTGGACAGTTTTTTATACATATAACATGCATTTTTTGTCAATAATTTAGTTAACTGACTTCCCGATTGAATTTTAAGTTTAAATTTGGTGGACATAACCTATACTTAGTGAGGAATATTCTCACAAAATTTCAATAAAAAATTCGACCCAGAAGCACCTCAAATGAAAGAGGCCTAAAACTTACAAGTTTTAGACCTACCTTAGGAGAACATCCCTTATATTTATATAATCATCACCTGAGTGCCGCAAGTGTTCCCAACTCCCACCTACAGCTTTACCCCTTACTAATACGTAGTAGTATTTATATATGATAGTAATAAAATATTTAAAATACAACAATTTTATTAACAATGTTCTGTATTTCCCGTATGTTTTTTTTCATTCAAAACGTACCCTTAAATATAAAGCAGTCATCTTACTTCGGAAGTAGTAAGCCTTAAATGAGATGTTTCTTCTGTTCAGGTATTATTTAGATCTCTACATCAAGGCACCAAGCTTGATATATGGTCAGCTGGTGTTAGCTTACTATATCTAATGACTGGGCGGAGCCCTTTTGCTGGAGACCCTGATCAGTAAGATTACACTCTTTCCAACATAATTTTGTGTATTTGCCTACATGGGCATATGGTAGTTGCTGTCTTACTGAGCTCATAACTCACAACAAACCTATACCGTTTTGTTGGGCTTCGCAGGAATATAAGGGAGGTAGCCAAGTTGAAGGGCAGCGAGGACTTGTGGGAAGTGGCCAAATTACACAACCGTGAATCGTCGTTCCCTCAAGTACTAATCCCTCTTCCCTCCCACCTCAATATTTTCTAGCGAGTCTTAGAGAGTGTTTTCCTTTGCAAAAGTGCTTTGGAGCTTTTAGATTAAAAAAAAGCCAAAAAAAGTGTTTGGCAATTCTAACGGACTGGGATCCTCTGCCTTATGGCAGAGTACCTTACTCAAATGAAGGGTCAAGATTAAAATTCAGAGTATTGAGATTGGTGCAAAAATTGAACCACACATCCTATGTCATTGATTTTATGATCTAAAGGCTCACAGCAAGGCAGAGGAGCCGTATCCAATTCTAACTTTTGCTTTAAAAAAGCAGTTTAAAGTCAAAAGCTGGAAGCTGGGGTAGGGGGTGCTTTTAACAGCTTCTAGTTTTTTTTGTAAATAACTCCCAACTCTAGTGGTAGTTATAATGGTCAATTATTTAACTTAACCCCAACTACCCTTCACTCTTCCAATCTTCTGACGAACTCCATAGTTCCCTGCGTCAGCTTCTTCCCCCCTCCATAGTTCTCTGCGCCAGCTTCTTCTCCCCCCTCCATAGTTCTCTGCGCCCTAATAGTATATACGAAGTATTATATTAAACTCATGCTTTACACAAGAGCATCTTAATAATTCTACTCTGTGAGAGAGAATTTGGAGTTACATGAAAAAAATCAAAAATTGGAGGTTTCAATTGCAAAATTTCAACAGTTCAAAATCGCAAGCTTCAGACATTTGCTCCATTTTTTGTTTCTAAAATGCCTTTCATGAGTACAGTTGGAACGGTGAGTGAGAACTAATTGCAGGCCCTTTTTAAATAAAAATCTGGAGAACTAATCCAATTAGAAAGGTGTTTGCATCGGAAAGAATTGAGGAGAATTCTCTACCGTCGTCTTCGTCGTGCAAATCAGAGGCTAGGGATGGGTAATGATTTTGAGTATTCAGTGAATGAGATGTATGGACTTCAAAATTTATTTAGGGGTGTTCTTGTACTTCAATAAAACTTTACATCAATAATCATTTTTTTATCAAACACTTCAACTTTTACTTTTTCACTTTAATCACTTCTATTCTCAAACACTATCAACTTTTACTATAAATCACTTTTCCAATAATCTCTTAAAAAAATCACTTTTAAAAAGCACAAGCAACCGCAAACACTCCCTTACTCTAGCCAATATTTCAGGGTCCTGATATTTTTCCATCTCAGACCCGATACCTAGACGGGGATAATTTGAGACTAGTTGGGAACTTGGGGTTAAAAGCTATTTCGATATGTAAATTACTTGGGGTTTAACTCATAAAATTGTCCTTCCATCAGCTATGTTTGGCTAAGGCAACTTACTCCCTCTCTTGGGTTTGGCATGGGTTTTAAGAAAACGCTAATCATAAATTCAAAGCCCGTAGAACTTTCTTTAAACTTTAATAATTAGCAATGATAGAATATTCTGCAAAGTTCAAGAAATAGTGAATTCGTTTAGTGCGTTGTTTGGTGTTAGAATGATATTTATGAAGAATGCTACTCTGAGTTTAATGCACCAAACTCCCCGTGATATAGAAATTCGGCATTTAGCCCCTGTAATTTAAGAAATGCGTCAGACCCTCGTGTTATCATTAATCATGCACATAATCTCTTCTATGAACAAATTCATTCACAAAAAGGGGTTCTACACGTGAATAATTATAAGAGAGAGGGGTTTCATGCATTTTTTAAATCACAAAGAGCCAATGCACTGAATTTTTATATCACGAGGAGTTTGATGTATTAAACTCCGTATTTTGTTATTTAGTTATGTTATGAAAATCATGAACGATAATCTTATTTATAAGATGCAAGTTACAAATTAACTTGACTTGGTTATGAGCTTATTTTTACTCGAGTAGTGGTAGTGGAATTAGGCCGGCGGGTGACCTAAATGTGAGACAAACATAGTGGGGCGGTCAAGTAAGTTGTCAATGAAGGGCTATCTATTGTCTAGGTGGAGATATTTTCAGATTACAAGCTCTAACAGAATGCCATTATGACACAGGACCTCTTCGATGCAAAATACTTGCCTTCGGTCAAACTTCAAGACTGGTGTAAAAGGAACACCCGGAGAGCAGATTTTTTTGACGCCATTCCAACATCTCTTTTTGACCTGGTGGATAAGTGTTTGACGGTTAATCCGAGATTGAGGATTAGTGCAGAGGACGCCCTTCGACACGACTTCTTAGCTCCATTCAACGAAATGGCCAGAAAACACAAGCTGTCCAGGCAAGGGTCAAGTCACACATCACCGCATATGCTTCCCTCAGGACCTGGTCAAACTCAGGCACGTGGACTAGTAGCTCTATGAAAATGCCTTCACCATATTTTTTCATTTTTAGATATTCTGTACAGTAGCAATTGTTATTCAGCGCAAGGCCTCTCCAGTGGAAATTAGGGGTGGTCAAACGGGTCTTGGAACCGCGGTCCGGTCCGGGTAATGGCGGTTCGGGTCTAAAACGGGCCGGTTCCATTTTTTGTTTCCATAAAACGGTCCGGGTAGGGTCGGGTAATTTTTTTTAAGGAACCGGACCGGTTCCAAAATTAAAAAATAATGGGTACCCGGCCCGGCCCGTTATATATATTGTATATTAATTTATTAATAGTTTTGTGATAATCGGTAGTTTTGTTTCCTGTGCTAGAAGTAGGATTTTAAATTGAGTTGCAGTAACATCCTTTTGTTTTCAAATTATTGATTAAATGTTTCATAAATATCTTATTACTTTTTATTGTTATTGAATTATTCCTTTCTATGGAATTTAATTATTTGTTAAAGATGATTTTGTTATATTTTTTTATTATATTGTTATTAAAATATATAAATTGTGTTTACCACCCACCATGTATGTGTCAACTTTGGCTAATACTGAAAATTTAATATAAAAAAAAGTAATAGCTTTAATATGTGATGTTACACAACATGTTTAAATACAAATGTTAGAAAATATGTATTTTAGCTATGTTTCATATTTTTGGAATTTCTTTAATTGTTTGAAACTTATATACAAGAAAATATGGAGTATTGGACTTTTTCGCTTGTGTTATATATGCACCACTATATTGTTATTTTGAAACTTGCTAATGTCCTATATTATTGATTATTCATTTTTGGAACTTCGTTAGTTTTTACTAATATAATTTCAAGACATAAGAATAGAAACCGTAAAACCCGGACCGGACCGACCCGTTTCAAACGGGCCGGGTAATTACCGGTTCCTATTTTGAAAATTGTAATACCCGGATCGGATCGAACCGTACAATGGAACCGGCGGTTCCATTTTATTTTGCATTACCCGCCCCGACCCGGCCCGTGCCCAGCCCTAGTGGAAATCATAAATGCATCGTAAATAAGGATATCTGCTTTAGTTTCTTCTGAAGGATGCAAACCCTCCCGGAGGGCTCTGGAAACTGACCTCATAGCTTTAAGGGATCCCAACAAGATGTTACATCCTTCTTAGCATTTAACTAAACGATAGAATCATAGAATGCTCAGGCTTATAACTTCTAATATTGAAGTGTATTTTTGTGTAACCCGAGCATGGTTGTAGAATTTGCTGTACACTTATAATCCAATCATGGTGGATTGATGGCTAGACGACCTATACTTGTAATACCAAAAACTATATAAATATAATATTATAGGTTATGATTGGGTGGACCCTGGCTGCTTTTGAACCGGTTGGTTGTGCTCTTTTACTTGCTAGAATTAACTCTAGCACCACGAGCTCTCACTTCTCAGTTAGATTCCAATTTTTATTTTACTACGTACGGAGTATATTACTCTAGGTCTCTAGCCAAGTACTTCGTATTTAAGTATTGTCTACCAACGACAATGTCGCTTATCAGTTATCACAGTGTGTTATTATAACTATTTAAACATAATACAGCATAAATTAATCATTTTATCATAAATTTTCTTTAATTCTTGCAACAGTTTGACTTTCACGTTTGCTAACGCACAACTTTGATTGTAATTATATTTAATTTTGTATTAGTAAACATTATAAAAAGTTGATTGATGTGAGTTTTCTCGCACTTAAAATAAATGTAGTAAAGTGATTGAAAGTACGAGTATCGTCTCCACAGGGACGCACAACTTTCTGGCAGATCAGGCTTAATTACATGAATTTAATTTAATTGAGCCTAGCTAATCATTACTAAGTTCTTACCGCTCTCGCGGCGTAGAGTACAATAATTTAGGGGTCCAGGCTGGTCTCTCATGCGACAAGATCCCAAATTATTGCCAAAACGAGCGAGCTTACGGCCCCTTAATCGCTACTAATCTCTTAGCGAACGATTAAGTGTGTGTGAATGTGTCCTAAAACAAATTAGATCTCTCTTAATTCATTTTACATGCAATTGTAATTCTAGTCGCGATTCTAGGTTACAAAAGATATCAATTAAATTATTCAAACACAAATTAAACGGCATTCATGCAATTAAACCGACAAGAATCTAGCCATCAATCATGATTAACCCCTTCATCAACCCCAAATCCCTAATTAAACTACTCACGCCTCATAATTGACGAATCAAAGAACTGAGATGAATAGAATAAATTGTCATTAATTAAAGAATTGAACTTACAAATAATCCCAGGGTCTTGGAATAAAATAGCGTAAAAATGGTGTTAAATTCATCCCTAGGCCTCTCCGTAATGTTCGCAACCCCTGAAACGGGGTTATGGATGCCTTATTTATAGAAAACAACGAATTCGGGTCGAATTAGGACCAATCGCGGCCAGGCACGGTGCCAGGCACGGCCGTGCCTGCGACCGTGCCTGCGGAAGAAGCCCAAAATTCGCGTCCAGGCACGGCGTGCCTAACTGCCAGGCACGACCGTGCCTGGCCTCCAGTAGCTCCCAGGTTCGTTTCTCTTCAGGCACGGCGTGCCTAACTCCAGGCACGACCGTGCTTGAACTTATTCTTCACTTTTTCTTCGTTTTCTTGCTCCAAACGCTCCCGGATGCCTACGAGGTCGATCCAAATGCTCTTTCTTCATCAGAATTTCGTCGTGAATCTCCCGGTGACCTCCAAATCTCTCAAATCTTCTTCGAATGCTTCCAAACTTTGCCCGATTGCTTCTCAAGTGCCGATTGCCGGACTCTAACTTCTTCAAATCAACTCCAATTGCAACGAAACTCGATCCAACGCCTGCTAAACACAACTTGAGCCAAAATTGAGACTTGCAACGCCTTAAAGCTAGGAAAAGCATCAAAATCCGACCCAACACGCATCAAATGCGTGTCTAAATACGGACTTATCATTGATATTTTAAAAATTCACAATGATAGAAATTCAATAACATTTTATATGTAATAATTTGATTATGTATAATAATATAAAATCGTGTTCAAAGTAAGGTTTGCGAATAGTGTAAAAATCATAATGTTGTAAGAATTAAAGAACGCATCAAATAGTTCATAATCTTGATTAACCTTGATAAACTCCATCTATCGATTGGAGAGTTATCTGTTATAGGTGGTATATGAGTATCTCATCCAATCCATGAAGGCAATTAGGCATTATAGGGAGGAGCATCCGAAATGACCAAGGATGAAGACAGATGCGCTAATGATATTATGACAGTGAAGCATGAGAGAATCAATCATGTTTTTATTTAGATTGTTTTCAGTCCCGTACTAGAACAAATTAGATCAGACTTAAACTGACCAGACCAGATCATATTTAAACAATCTAGACCAGACTTTCACAATTATAAAATACACAGAGATCATACATTTAAATATCAAACTAGATTAGTTCAGCCCACCAGAATTAAACAGACTAGACCAACAAATTTCAGTCCAAGTAAAAACATCCAAGGTTATGAATGGAATTTAAATTTTAAAACATGGATCGATACGAATGCTCCGAGCTAATTAAACTGAAATCCCAATTTCAATTAAAACACAAGTACATATTCAGGTGTCTAGTGTTAATAATAAGCAGCTTCAGTATTACTTCGTATTAATTAACACAAGAAGCAATATAATCAGTCATCAAATAATTTTAATCAATTGAAATCGAAATTGCCAAGCCACCATACTTGATGAACTGCAGATAAGTTCCGAATGGTGTGTCGTTCGAATCGTCGTTGACTAATAGACAAAGAACAAGAGAAGGCGCTGACATAGAGTTGACTGGACATAAGGCTAACTGCAATCCAACTTCATCGATAAATCAAATTTCCAACTAACTTATATGCTATGTAGCACCGATACGGGTACGCGGAAACGCGGAAACGGATACGGGGATACGAAAAAATAAAAAAAAGTAGGATACGGATACATGGTCATATTTATAAATATTAAAAGTTATGGGGTGTATTTATAAATATTAAAAGTTACATGGGTGTATTTATAAATATTAAAAATACACTTTTTTTATAAAAAAAAACAGACATATATTATCTTTTGACGTCTACTCATTCATGTCATTGAAGTATTTTACATTTTCAAGATACTTAGAAATAAGTTCATATTTCGTCTCATATACACTAGTGCACCTCGAAATACAGATAAAGTCAATAAGTCTTAATTTAAAATTAGAAATAAGTCAAATAACTACAGTTTTGAAATTAAAAGTGTAAGTACTCAAAGTTCTAGGATAATGAAGATTTTTTTTGTTTAGTCTAGTGTAGTTGCATTCATTTTGTTATCTAGGATAATGAAGATATAAAACAATATTTTAAAAGTTCTAATACATATTTCCGTTGAAGCTATTAATTTGCAGGGATACTTAGAATTAGGGACAAGAGGATGGGTACATGAATTAGGAATAGGTCCATTAGTTGTGTACCACATAAAAGCAAGGTAAAAAATCATTTTTAGCTTTTCATCTTTTAAGAATTTTATTACGGAGTATGTTAATTTTGAGTGTGTTTTTTAAAAGTTTTTTTTTGGAAGTTTTTTTTTAAAGTTGATACGGGTATCCGTCAGGATACGAGTATCCGAAATTTTAAAATAATTACCAAAAAATGGAAACTTTTAAAAATATCAGATACAACCCGGGAACGTACGGTACGGGTATCCTAGAATATCGGATACGGGAATGTTTCCGATACATCGATACGGCACCCTAGTGAAGTATCCGTGCTTCATAGCTTCTACGCATTCAGTCTGTCAATTTAATTTTTACTACAATCCAACACTGTCAATATATTCAGTCATCAATGTTTTTCATTAATTAAAGTCTTCCTTTTATTATTATAAATCAATTTTTTGCTTTTTTTTTGCGAATAATTATGATTTTAAAAGTTAAACATTTTGATGTAAAAATAAATAAATTTGGAGTTTACTTTTGTTGTTGTTAATTTGTACCAATTTTTGAAAATATAACTGAAAGATGCAAAAAATAATCTTAATCATAAAATCTTAATTTTAGCACTTGAATCTTTTAACAAAAATTTAGAACATAAAAATCTCTAACAGATGAAACTTTATATTTTTTGTTTTTTAAACTTTATATATACAATATTGGTGTAAATGAAAGATCATAAAAAATTATAAAATTTGATATACTTTTTTTGTAAAAAATGGAGTATAATTAAAAAAGTTATAATGGATTTTAGATATTTGGGATTTTTAATTATCCTAACCCCACATTCAGAATGAGTCAATGACAAAGTACGGATGCTTGCAGCTCGTTTCTCTCACCATGAATGAAACCTCTAATTTCCACCCAATCCGTGCTATCTAACCAGTTTGGCACCTATTAATAGACTGGATTGTAGCACATTTGGGGGTGAAAGCATCAAATTTGGCTTTTCACCCTGAGGTTTGCAAGTAGCCTAATAGGGCTGTAATGGGAATTTAATTATATATTTAAAAATACATTCCAACGTGTAGAGCTTCATTTAGAACAACCCATCTATGTTTAAGAACATGAATCGGACCGGGAGGGTCGGCCCAGAAACCAGCGACCCGGCACCTATCCCGGTCCGTTCTCCTAGTAACTTGCAAATTTGATGAAATCCGGAATAACCCGAAAGCCCGTTTTGACCTGACCCAACCCGTATCGGCCTGAGACCTAGAGAACAGGAAGAATCCGGGTGATAAGCTTTTTAAAAAATGTTCAGGGCGCTTGGATTCCAACTCAAGCCTGCCAGGAGGGCAGTGATGGACCCAGAAAGTCGGAGCCACGGAGTCCCTACCCTTTTATATCTCTAATCTCTAAGTAATATAAAACTAATACAAAAAAAATATTAAAGAAGCATAACACTTCATAGTTAACGTACACCATCAAAACGTTAAGGTATTATAAAGCAAAAAAATACATATAAAAATAATTCAACAATTCTACAGATGTACCCTTCTAAGCTTCATTTGTTGGAAATATTCTATAATAGAATCATCACTAATAGTTTTGGTCTATTTAATTAAAATAGGCCAAAACGACATAGTTTTGGTCTACTTAATTAAAATAGTTTTGGAAAACAAAAAAGGTTTGTTGGAAATATTCTATAATAGAATATTAGAATCATTACTAATAGTTTTGGTCTATTTAATTAAAATAGTTTTGGAAAACAAAAAAGTAGTCGAGAGGGATTCAAACATGGTACCTCCCGCATCATAGAAACCTAAATCCCACATGTGCTCCCATTCCCCTGCTACATTCTTCTGGTTCTTAGGTCGTTTTGTATGTAAATATACAATTACTAATTATATATATATATATATATATATATATATATATATATATATATATATATATAATAGGTATTTTTTTTAGGTGCACGGGGTCCTGGGACCCCGTGGGACCCTTACTGGGTCCGCCTATGCAAGAGGGTAGCACCGTAGCAGCACACTCCAACTTACTACTGAAAGTTTTTTTGAGTGTAGTAAAACTTTCACTGTAGTTTATGAATTTTTATACCTTCAAATTATCTTCTGTTTATAATCTATTTATATTAATTTTAATAATTTTTTATTTAAAATGATAAAATTCCTTCCAAATAATTGTACTTTTTGATTTGTACAATATATCTTCAAGACCTTTTTTACATGAATATTACTAAATTAACTTCAAAAGATAAAAATGTGATTTATTAAATTTTTCTTTTAAAAAAGTGGCATATTCAGTATTTAGTTTCCAATGGAGTAAAGGGTCAGTTTGGTCCTCGAAGTTGCAAAAAAGGGGTCAAATAAGTCCTTATATAGAAGATTCTGTCCGGACGTGCCATTTGAGGTGGCTCCCGGTAGAATTTTTTGATGAAATTTTTTGAGCATCTTATTCATTAAGTCTAGTTTACTCATACCAAATTTCAGCTAAAAATTCAATCGGGGAGACATTCAAATGAATTCTTGAAGATAACTGCGCTTTTAACGACACAGTTATCTTCAAGAATTCATTGGAATGTCTTCCCGATTGAATTTTTATCTGAAATTTGGTATGAGTAAACTAGACTTAATGAATAAGATGCTCAAAAAATTTAATCGAAAAATTCCAGCGGGAGCCACCTCAAATGGCACGTCCGGACAGAATTTTCTATATAAGGACTTATTTGATCCCTTTTTTGCAACTTCGAGGACCAAACTGACCCTTATCCCGTTTCCAATGACTCATCATTTACCATTGACTTGTTATTCTGAAATATACTATAGTGATTCTTGTTCAATTACTCGTACACAGTAAGTCAGTAACTAATCATATTTTTTCCTAAAAACATAATGTGCCATATTTTTATCGAGTGAAATTCTATTAGTTATATACATGTCCTTTTTTCTATCTTCTATCGGTAAAGGGGCAAAAATAAGTATTGTATGATAAAGAAGATAAAATAATTTTTGTACTTTTAATTCTTTAAAATATACGATTAAATATGTATGATAAGTCGAGAATATGTATTGTAGAAATAAATTTTATTATTTTTAATAGTAAATTATTAAAATTAATTATATACTGATTATAATATATAAATAATATAATATAAATAAAATTTAAAACCAAACCAGATTAAGTTTTATTTATTTTCACTTAAATTTTCTGGTCTAGTCTGAACATGTCTGATCTTATTTTGTCTTGTTCGGTAGATGTCCAGTCTATGTGTATTTTATAAATGTCGAGGTCTAATCTAATCTTTTTATTTCTGATCAGGTCATATCTGATCTTGTCTGGGACTAAAATATTTCAAGTAAAAACTTCTAAAACAGATCAGATCAAACTAGACTAAAACTGATCAGAAAGTTTCAATCCAATTAGTAACGTCATAATTTATATAATTGGACAAGTAGTTAGTTAATTTGCCACATATTTATTTAAGACGTTACTCACAAAAAAATTATATGCTTGGCAGCTTGGGGATGTGCTTTAGTGACAATCATGGAGTGTAGTACTTACTCTATTTGCCTTTACCTGTTAGAGCTGTTATCTATGCCATGTATATTGACGGTTAGAGTAGGGGAAAATTTCCACATAAAAATAAATTATCTCTCTTTATTTAAATGATTTATTTATACAATTATGATAAGTTTTTCTCAACAATGTCAAACAATTCGGGTAGATTTTGACACTGTGATTGACATTGCAGAGAAAAACTTACCAAACTTGTATAAAACCATTTAAATAAAGAGAAAAATAACTTATTTACTATTACCTCCGTCCCCCTAAGTTTGGGACAAAGGGACGTGGTGTGGGTTTTTAAGAAAAAATAGAATTGTGTGATTGATATTGAATTGATAAAATGCGAATAAAGTAAAAATGAATTATAACCGCTCAAATATTACCAAATATGGTATGTGACAAACTTAGTGTGACGGACGAAAAAGGTAAAACGAGACAAACTTAGGGGGACGAAGGGAGTAGTATTTATGTGATATCTCTCATGCCACATGTCACATGTGCACCGTGCACATAAGGAGTATGTTTGACACAACTAGCTGAAAAGATACTATTGCGAGCTTTTTAATAAGTGCTAGCTTTTGGTGATTGAAAAGATCTTACAAGGAAAAAATGGTAGCTGTTTGGTAAAAAACTGAATATTTGATTTAGTTCATTTTGGTATACAAGCTCTTAGGACTAAGGCTATGTTTGGCAGACATAAGTCTCTGCCTTCTAGCTTTTGTACTGTTCAAAAATCTAAAAGCTAGTTATATGTTTGACATGACAAATTGTAAGAGCTTTTCAAAAATTAAAAGATCTTATGTGAAATGCTACGGGGAGTAGCATATGAAAAAAGCTCGTGACTTTTAGTATTAATTAGTCCTAACAGCTTATATACGAAACTGAACCAAATCAAACAGTCATCTTTTTACCAAACAGTTACCACCTTTTCCTTTTAAGATCTTTTCAGTCACTAAAAGCTAACAGTTATTTAAAAGTTCGCAAAAGTATCTTTTCAGCTAGTTGTGCCAAACATAACTAATTAATACTAAAAGTCACGGGCTTTTTCAGATGCTTTTAATACTCCCTGTAGCATCTCAAAAAAGATCTTTTAATTTTTGAAAAACACTCAAAAGTTGTCATGCCAAACATATAACTAGAAGTTTTTAGAGATTTTTTGAACAATACAAAAGCTATGAGGGGGAGACTTATGCCCGTCAAACATAGTCCTCAAATAGAACCTTTTTTTAATAGAACCTTTTTGCTAATAGAGGTTTTTTTGCCTTTTTCCCTTTGTTTTTTCTGCCAATATTTCTCTGTTAAATTCGTTAAGCTTGTTTCCTTCTAAACACAAAGTAATTTTGAAGAGGGTAAAGTTACTGTACTAAGGACCCTTGCCCTCATGAGGAACGAGGGACAGTGAGATTCATTTCAGAAATCTGAATCTCGAAGCTATTCATTTGATTTATTCTAATTAGATTAGATTTGAGGATGAATTGTAATTGATTGAGTCTGGGAATATTGGTCTTCTACAATGAAGAGGCTAATTGAGCTAGGGAGAAAAGCTTTATTCTACGCTAGGGTTCTGTCCGGCTACGAAGAGCGAAGAATTCGGTCTTATCGGTTACAGCTTCAGCAGCGTCTTCAGCAGGTTACATTTTCTTTTCGCAAGAACAATATATTTGATGAAATGTAGTTTAATTTGATTGGTCTCGGTGAATAGCTGTTTTTAATTGCATAGAAAAGTTCTTCAGTTTGTTTATAATAAAATTGTTTGCGTTTCCCCAATTATCGTTGGCAAGTGTTGTATTTTTCCGATTTCACTTTCGGTTCTGTTTCTTGGTCTTTAAGGTTTAAGTAGAAAATGCTGGGTTGAGTGGATTTAATATGAAATCATCTTTGGAGGGGAGAGAATGAAGAAAAGAAATTTTAGGCCCTTTTGGGTGAAGTGTAAATGTGTTTTATTTTTATTGTATTGAATATGCCTAATTGGTATTTTAAAGAAACTTTCAGCTTTACTTGGCTTGGCCGATCTTTAATATACTACTGGAACAGCCAAAATTGATCAAAGGTACTACATTCTTTAGTATTCAGGACGGTTAAATGTTAATTTACACTAGTGACCAGACTACTCAATGGCCATGGGTTTCAATCTTTGGTTGTTCTTGTATGTTTACCATATCATTCACATGGGTTAGTGTGTCTCTCTCTTTGGATTTTAAAAAGTTAGGAAGTGCTTTAAAGCTGTTCTTAAAGAAAACGACTTATGGTTGAGTAGAGCTTGATAGAAATTACACTTTCAAAGGGTTATACTCATAGCTTTTTAATATCTTACGAACCCTCAGTTCTTCCTCTTTTCTTCTGTGTGTATATGTATATGTACATATTTCACAAATGAAAATATAGTTGTTAAAATTCATGACACATTATTCAAGTGTTTCTTTGGCTGTATTTTCATTATGATCTTGTTTGGTCATAGACGGAAGAGAAAAAGGCTGCAATAAGAAGAGTGCCAGAACAAATAATTTTATCAGAGGTCCGTAATATGGTGAAAGAGATGCAAGCTTTGAATAAGAAGCTAGAGGAAACCGTAAGTTCTGACTTTACTGTTATTACTATTTACTCGATAATAGTTAACCCACGAATTGTATCAAGACTCAGAAGAATAAACCTTGCTGCTTAAAACTCAATCTCATAGCCTTTAAGTATACCATGATAGTTAGCCCACGATGGACATAAACAATATATGATGCCAGTAGGTCCTTACTGTTCGTTACACGATATTGGTTGTCATGCAAAACAAGTAGAGCTTTTCTAGACATTTATGATTTGTGGCCTATTAATATTTCTTCCTCTTGAGTTGCGATTAATATTTTCTATGGAAAGGGACGTAGTTGTAATGAGAGAGATTAGTGAACTAAATTGAAGAGTTATTCTTCAGAACATTACCCGTGCCTATCTATAAACAACTAGATTATCTGTCCCATATATGAAACCTAAAATAGAAGAGAAATGAAAGAAAATAATATCTAATTGGATTATATAAGCAATGATATTTATAAAGAAAAAGCATCTTAGAACTCTTAACACTTGGATACTTCCTTGATAGGCAGATGGTTGGAGCAAACTGCAAAGGAGTGTTTATTTCTATTTGACTTATTAAGGAGGTGGGAAGCATTCCTCTGTAGAGAAATAGGAAGTGAAAGGAGACCAAAATTAACACTCCACTAAATAAGTTTATTCACACATTTCCAGCAGTTAATATGAAGTTTAATATTTCACTTTAAAAAATATGGAATTCCTTGTTTGAGCATGGTAAGTTATTTTACGCATGGTCCCACAGGGTTATATTTAGTGGGAGCTAATTTATTTATTGAGATATCTATAGGTTTCTGCGTTCGAGAAAAGGAAAGTTGCAGACCTTCAGGCTTTGTTTTGTTGGTAGATTTTGGAGCGGAGGGGGTGGGTTGGCATGGTCGTATGCTTTACTAATTTACCCCTATTTGTTAGTGTTACATGACAAAAAGTAGCCATCTCATCTGTTAAATCAGGCATTTCTTTATAACTCCTCACTTTCACTGCCCTTCCAACCCGCTAATGTAGGAGTCAATTTGTAAAGCAGATATCACCCGTTTTCTCCCTCCCATGCAAAATCCCCAAACCCAACAAGGGGCGGTGTTGTCACAGTTCTTGAGAGAGAGTGGGATGTTTGTTCCATGTGGGTAAATATGTGAGAGAAGTGTAAGATCTACAAGATTAACCATCTATGTGATTTCTCTGATTTGTATTAATTTTTTTGGTATGCTGAAATGTTCAGTCAAGTTTCTACTTGACTCGACTTGTTTCACGTAGGAATGTGATGTGAAATCACTGAGGTAGTCATGCATAACTTGATTATCAATTTTTGAAGATTGAGCTCGATTCCCTGCATGCTAAGTGAATCGGAAATGGTTTAAGTGAATGGGAATTGGTTTATCGGAACTTATGGTCTTTTGGGTAGTGGACCGGCTGTATATATTATACTCCGTATATACATACATTTGAGTTTTTAAAAAAATTGAAAGATTAACATAATAGGTTATTGTATTACTCCGTACATTTGAATAAGATTTTGTTCATTTTAGAAACATTTTATTCTTCACGTTATAGACTTAGCCCTCTCCAGCCTTCCACTCCAAAACCGTACCCCTCCATCCAAACAGACCTTTTAGTTTAATCCTTGGATGACCTGTGGGGTGTTAGGCAGGCCTTGCAGAAAAGTAAACTGGTGGATTGTTTTTATTATTATTATTAAGAACTGTGTTAATAAGCAATTTAGCACTTCATTTTTTTTTTCCAGTTTTACCCTTTCCTTCATTGTTCTCTTTTTAACCTCTTGTGATTATTGGTCAAGTCCCAATTTTATCGGATGTCCCCGAAGGGACTGATTATTGGTCAAGTCATCCGCTCTATTTCTTATCTGAGCAAACCACTCATCATGTGCAGGAAACTCAAATTAATGAGTATTTCAAGCCAATTGAAAAGGAAGCTGAGATTATAATGGATATGCAGCTTGAAAGGGAGGCAACTACAATGACAGATATGATGGCAGAAATGCACAGGCAGGCTTTGCTCCAACAAATTGAAGTGGAGAAGAAAAAAGCCACCCAAAATCTGGAGAAGAGCAAACATTTGCAAGAGAGTGAATCCTCCACTTCTCAACCAGAAAGATGACTTTTTATGGATAAGATTAAGTCATGCTCAATTAGATTGTGTAAAAGTGAGCCTGCAAACTGGTGCTAGATTTAGAGTGTTACTTTCTCCATACTGACAGAGTGACATCAAGAAAGATGGGTTCTTGATATCCTTTTAATAAGCAGTTTTTTTTGTTCCCAACACCTTTCTATCTTCCCTGAAACAATGATGTTATTAGACATTCAAGTATAGTATAAAAAAATGGCATGTCATTTTTTTTATCGGATTCCTCTAGTGTCTGGCTGCTCATCTGATTAGAGTTTCATTGCTTCTTAAAAGTGGCCTGTTCTACTTATCAAAATAAATTCCTTTTGATTTACCTATTTGGTTAAATGCTTTTATTTTTACAAATCAATAAATTCAATCATATCAATCAGTTAAGCTGTATCAAACATTCAAACGTGCTCTTAAAGGTCAAACTTTCATGACACTTGCAAATTACACTGACATTTGTATGAGGGCGGCCTTAATAGTCCTACTAGTTGAATATCACTTGCCCCAAATGCTTTTGGGAGACTGTCTCTGCCCGTCTAGTGATCTATACATAACTTTTCAGATCACTGGGATCTATTTAAAGAAAATCTTTTTGAGGTCCTTAAAATTGTGTGCAACATAGTTCAGCATACCTAATGCACTGAAACAATAACTGACCTGCACTGGTATCTCAGTTCATTTTTCAGATTGCAGACAATGTCTTTGAATGTAGGACCTGCTGTGGCCTTGGATCAGGTGGTTTCGGGTCACGTGTAGGAGGAATTGCCCATTCTGTGAGTACTTTATAAGAAATAATAATACTCCGTAGTAGTTACTATGGATTTTGTATACCATATAAACTCTTATATTTCGTTGTCACTAGAAATGGGAAGCGCCAACTCTTAATAGAAAACAAGTGTTTGAAGAGTTTTCGTAGAATTTTCAAAACAAAAGCATATTGTTTAGCAAGAGTTTTCGTGCTTTATAGATCCTTTCAAAAATCTACTTAGCAAGTCCATCTAATGGGCTTGTGGCTATATTTTAAATGTCGCATTGATGCTTCACATAATAGATTACTCAAAACATACAACAAGAGTTCACATTATATCACACAAATCATACAAAAAAAGTATTAGTAACATTTAATGACTATGCATGTACAAAACTCAATGTGATTGAATACGATGATATTTTAGTCTTCAGAAATAATTAGAAGAATTATTATTGTTCTTTGTTATTTAAAGAAAAGTTGAAAAAGTAATACGTAAAGAATAAACAAAACACATTTTTTTTAAAAATATAGTCTATCTTAGGACTTGGAACTGGGTGGTAAAAAATAGTTTAATATATTTAACCACACAGTTTAATAATGGAAAATTGTTCCCGCATTGACTTGGAACGGAGTTTAAGAAAGTGGGAATAAAGTGGAAATGTATGGTTGTGGTTGAGTAAGAAAAAGGTAATTGAATTGTAGCCACAAAAAACTTTCTAAAAGGGGAAAGTGGAAGAATTTTTTGGGACGACCCAAAAAGGAAACCGGGAACAATTTTCCGGGACGGAGGGAGTAATGGATATGCCGCTTGAAAGGGAGGCAAGTACAATGACAGATATGATGGCGGAAATGCACAGGCAGGCTTTGCTCCAACAAATTGAAGAGGAGAAGAAAAAAGCCTCCCAAAATCTGGAGAAGAGCAAACATTTGCAAAAGAGTGAACCCTCCACTTCTCAACCAGAAAGATGACTTTTTGTGGTTAAGACAGAGCCCTAGATGAGGGCGTGCAAGAAGTGCTATCACACAAGGACTCTCGATTTCAGAAGACTCAAAATTTTAAATATAGTCTATATAATAAAATACATCTTTATTTATTTGATTAAAAATTCCTATCTTAGGACTTTTTAGAATACAAACATTAAATAGTAATATTCATATGTAATTAAAATGCAATTGAATTGTTAATTACAATTGTGTAATTTTTTTTATTTCACAAGGCCTAGCTAGTTATAGTAATTAGCGCAAAGCCCTATCTTAGGACTTTTTAAAATACAAACATTAAATAGTAATATTCATATGTAATTAAAATGCAATTGAATTGTTAATCACATTTCATAATTTGTCATTACTTTACTTTTTTTAATATATTAACTTTTCTACTTTTCATTTACCTTACACATCTATACTACACCTACTATTTTCCTTAAAACCCAAAAAAAATCTAAGGAAACTATTATTTAAAAACGGTGGAAATATTAATATAATGTTTTATATTTAAGGGCCTCATATTCAATTTTGCACAGGGCCTTTTATATGTCAAGGCCGGCCCTGGGTTAAGATTAAGTCATGCTCAATTAGATTGTGTAAAAGTGAGCCTGCAAACTTGTGCTAGATTTAGAGTGTTACTTTCTCCATACTGACATCTCTTTTAATAAGCAGTTTTTGTTGTTCTCAATACCATTCTGTATTCCCTGAAACAATGATGTTATTAGACATTCAAGTATAGTATCCAAAAGATGGCATGTCATTTTTGTTATCGGATTCCTCTAGTGTCTCGCTGCTCATATGATTAACATTGCTGGTTAAAAGTGGCCTGTTCTACTTATCACCAGAGCAAGTGAAATTATCAAAATAAATTCCTTTTGATTTACGTATTTGGTTAAAAATGAAATTTGTTAAATGCTTTTATTTTAACAAATCAACAAATTCAATCACATCAACCAATTAAGCTGTATCAAACGTGCTCTTAAAGGTCAAACTTGCAAAATTACACTATTTGTATGAGGGCGGCCTTAATAGTTAATAGTCCTACTAGTTGAATACCGCTTGCCCAAATGCTTTTGGGAGACTCTCTCTGCCCGTCTGGTGATCTATACATAACTTTTTAGATCACTGGGTTCTATTTAAAGAAATTGTCTTTGAAGTTCTTAAAATTTTGTGCAACATAGTTCAACATACCTAATGCACTGAAACAATAATTGACTTGCACTGGTAACTCAGTTAATGTTTCGGATTGCAGACAATGTCTTTGAATGTAGGACTAGCTGTGGCCTTGGATCATCTAGTTTCGGGTCACGTGTAGGCTTGAATTAGGTGCGGGCCACCCGGCCCGGCCCACCACTGTGTGGGCCCGGACCGGGAACCGGGTACCGGTTCCGGGTCTAGGCCTGGTTTGTGGGGGTAACCGGGGCGGGTACGGGCTATGTGAAATGCGAACCGGCCCGGCCGAGCCCGGGTCCGGTTCGGGCCTAAACTATTTTTTTTTGTTTTTTCAATTTTTTTTTTGTTTCAACCGGGTGGGGCTTGGTGTTTTGGGGTGGGGGGGTGACGGGGGAGGGAGAGGGGTAGTTAGAAAAGCAAAAACAAAAAATAATTAAACCGGCCCGAGGCCCGGCCCGGCCCGGCCCGTACCCGGTGGAAACCCGAGACGGTTCCGGGCCTTCCCCCAGCCCTCAAAAGCCCGTCCGGGCCTAGGCCCGACCCGGGCCCGAACCGGGCCCAGTCCATAACTAGTCACGTGTAGGGGGAATTGCCCATTTTGTGAGTGCTTTATAAGAAATAATAATAGAAAAAAATAATAATAATAGAAGTTACTATGGACTTTGTATACCATATAAACTGTTGTATTTCGCTGTCACTTAGAAATGAGAAGCACCAACTTTTAATACGGAGTAGAAAACAAGTGTTTGGAGAGTTTTTGTAGAATTTTCAAAACAAAAGCATATTGTTTCCCAAGGGTTTTCGTGCTTTATAGATTCTTTCAAAAATCTACTTAGCAAGTCCAACTAATGGGCTCGTGGCTATATATTAAATGTTGCATTGATGTTTCACATTATAGATTACTCAAAACATACATAAGGTCCTATCATAAAACTTTCGATAGGCTAAATTAAGGAGTTGTGGAGATAAGCGGACTCGAACCGCTGACATCCGCCGCAGGGTAAATCACCGCCTCTAAGGTCCCCGACTTAACAGGTCAAGGATAGACAATAACTCCCCCCCGAACACAGCTTACAACTTTCATCGTACTGTGCTCTCCAATAGTTCACATTATATCACACAAATCATACGTAGTACAAAAAATAACATTTAATGACTTATGCATGTACAAAACTCGATGTGATTGGATACGATGATATTTTAGTCTTTAGAAATAATTAGGAGAGTTATTAATCTTTGAAAAAATTACACAAATATTGCTACTTTAAATCTCTCTTACAAAAATATGACTACTAATTGAAAGAACATAGTGGTTTCCCTACAATTACTCCTAGATTGCCCTACGTGATTGGTAGTTATGGTCCTTTACTCACTTTTTTGTAAACCCAAATTGTATTGATAATATTAACGTAAAAAACTCATCTATTACTACACACTCTAGTAACTAATCACATTTTTGTAAATAATCTTTATTTTAGTCATAAATTTATAATTATTTCTAATTTTAATACAAAGTACATACATACTATTACGGAAAAATGAGAGTACAATAACATTTGATTGATTCAGGTCATTATTTCCTCACTTATATATATGTTTAAATTATTTAATTGTAAAATTTGCTGAAGAACAATGGTTATGGACTTATGGACCTCATATTTCAAGGTCCCTCCAATTTTTGACTAAAAAATAATCTAATGAATACACAACAAGTCTTGACACATCTTTTTTCCGACCTTTTCTAGCTACATTTTACGTAACATTCACTTGGTGCATGTTATAAAAATAGAAAACTTCATAAATTTTGAATATCCAGTAAAAAATGTTAATTAAGTAGGATCATAACAAAAATGTAGGCAAAAAATAATTTCATATTCTTACTCATTAATACGAGTATGTTAAAAGCGAGTGTTAATACATGATATATGTGTTTACGTCAGTGTTAATTTCACCTTATTAATTCAGATAAATTAATTTTCTTTTTCTTTTTTGGATAAGTGTAGGCGTAGTATTCACCTTTATGTTTTATACTAGTTTAGCAACGCGCGATGCGCGTTTGTGTAAATGCCCAAGACCTTTGTAGGCATATTAATTGATGAGGTTAGGTTGCGTGAATATGTGAGTATAATGATAAACTATTTGTATATATAGTTTGTTAGAAATTTATAAGTAACTTGATAAATGAAATATTGTAGCCTAGATCATTATAGTAACCATAATAATAGGCTAAGATTCAATGAAAGAATTGTTGAAAGAGCAGCCATTCTTTAAAACCAATGAACAAAGAAGATAATGGCATTGAGTAGTATGAAGCTTGCTTTCATCAACCCAATCGAGAAGAAACAGCAATTTGCAGGAGATCAGGTCTGGTTTCTGGAG